TCCCCCAGACTGCTCTAGATCAGAACTATATTTTAATGAGACCGCAGGCATTGGCTATAACACTGGCTCACTCCTGCAGGCAACCTTCACCAGCTCCATGTCCTCCTGTTTCTGTAACAGCCTGGGATCCTGCAGTTTCTTCTCTGTCTTTTTGTCCCTGGGCTAAATCTTTCCTATCCAGTAAAGTTTGCCTTAAAATTCTCACCTCCTGCAAGAATCCACCAGCTCTTGCCAGTTAGAGGTCTCTTCTCCTAAATGCAAATACCATGCCCTTGAACTTTCTGCCTCAGATTATGAGTTTATGATCATAGTTTATCTCTCTCTCAATTAGCATTTCAAGCTCAGGTGGAATTGTGATTTATTTCTGTGTTTCTCACAGCACGGCAATGTTTCCATAACAAACTAGTTCTGCAGCAGACATCTGTCCATAATGCTTCTGTTTCCTCCTTAGGTACTGAAAGAAATTCATAAATTCCGATTATTGTTTTTGTGGTTTTCAGATAGTTGTTGCCCTATATGATTATTAACTAAACTCAGAAATACCTAAAATATTTATTCACATACCTACAGACACCCCCTGTTTCAAATGCACACAAACACACACATATACACACACACAGAGGGAGAGAGAGAGAGAGAGAGAGAGAGAGAGAGAGAGAGAGAGAGAGAGAGAGAGAGCTGGAATCACGGTTATTAAGAATTTAATGAGAATATTATGTGGGAATGACTGCTACTCACATTTCATAATCTTACCAAGAGAGAAGGAACACGGTCCTATAATAGAACAGAACACAATGACACACACACATCCCAGCGTCTCTATCAGGATCTGCATTTGGGACAAGCGAAAGTCCCCTGGCCCTTGTTCAGTCGCTTAATGGAGAAGAGTCCAAAGACAGAATGCTACTGGTGTCCTTCCAATTATAGAATCATCTGATTAGAATTACAGTAAATGCATAGCTCAGTTTGCATTGTCCTGGCGTGAACCACGAAGGAAGCCTCCCTTCCTGGAGCATCTGAGGGTACTGAACCCTGCAACTATACTGCCTCATCACACCAGGGTCCTCATGCCAGGACTGGCCCAGAAATGGGACAGAAACAAGTTAGGACACTATTCCTGGGGACCTTAGAGCCCAAGGCACCAGAGCTAGATGGATTTTTAATTAATGCTTAGAAGAAGAGCTGAAATGTCATACACTTTAGATATTAGCCTAGTCCAGACATGTAGAAGGAGGGTTGTCTGGGCTAATTTTAGACTTCGCTGTTCTAACTTACTTTCAGTCTGGTATATGGAATCCAGGAGGTGGTCTGTAGAACTCGAGTTTGTAGCATCGTGGTCTGTGATGAAATTGATTCCGTGTCCTATCTAGCTATAGCAAAACAAAGCAGGAATTCTTCAGAACTGCAAATGTATCCTTTTGTACTCATTCTATTGGAGCATGAGGCATGGCCTCATTGGGGTATTGGAACCAAATCCGACTGTTGTGTTATTAGTGCTTCTCACTTCATCCTCAGACTTTTGGGTATCACTGCCTGAGACCCATCCAGAGCCAGGGTGGCATGGGGGCTGCACTTGGAAGTCACCAAGTCAAGTGCTGCTGGATGAAACCCTGCTCTACTGGACCGTGAAATAGGCTTTCAACGGGGCAGAGAATAACAGACGTGTGAGAATGAGCAGTAACATTCATAACGAACGAACGGGAAGCCCACCGTGTGATGGGCATCTGTTCAAGTCACTCACAGAACCTGGCCAAATTGCAACCCAGAAGCACCAGGGAGTCAGTCGCCTCCAGGGGGCCCGTTTCCTTGTGTCACTGCTGTGAATGACAAGACATAAAATCACAGCAGACAGCTTTGTTCAGGTGTAAATGTCTTCAGTGCTGGAATATGCTACCTGAGTGACTTCCTTAGCCATTTCCTCACCCAGTCCTATCTATAGCATGGGGCTGTTTTTGTTTGTTTTTTGTTTTTTGTTTGTTTTGTTTGTTTGTTTGTTTTTTCCCAGGCTCTCTTTAGGTAGCCCTGACTGTCCTAAAACTAGCTGTACAGACCAGGCTGGTCTTGAAGTCACAAAGATATGCCTGCTTTTACCTCCCAAGTGATGAGATTAAAGGCGTGTGTCACCAAGCCCAGGTCACTGGGTTCTTATGAATATCTAAGGAAATGATATGAAAGAGTTACCCTAATTCAAGTTAGGAGGTTGGGAGGATGAGTCAATCCACTTTTTAAAACTGCCTTAGCCCAGGAGAAGTCAGTCAGCTTCTCACTGGCTGTCTTACAGCAATGCAGGGCTTGTCCCTTTTCATCCCTGCTTCAAATCAACCATAGATACATGAGAGATTAGCTAGATTAAGCTGAGATATTGCAATCAAGGAATATGCAGATATCAAATCATATATATACTATATATGCATATGCATCATTGTGAATATTTAAAAATAGGCAAAGTACTAAATTTCACAAGCAAACTCTTCGCTGTCCAGGAGGAATTAATCCTTAGGCCCCTGGGAGAGGGGAATTGATGGATAAGGGAAGTGACAGGGAAAGTTTTAACAGCTGTTGGTTTGGACCCTGGCCCCGCGCCCTCACGATACCCATCACCTTCCCCTAGGATTGCAACAACTAAGCACTATGCTGCTGAAGTTCTAACTCAGACTTTGTTTGACATCGATACGGAGGCCTCCCCAACAACAAAGGGTTCAAAGTGTGTAGAAGGCATCCATTAAATGCTAGTGCTGAACTTGTGGAGAAAAATCCTTTCCAGTCTGAGCTCAGGTGGCAGAGCATCAGAAAGAACAAGAGCAGGCCCTTCCTGTCCACAGAGTACACCACCCAGTCCACCAGCCAGGCAACCGAAATCCTTCTTAGAAGCTACCCAAGATCCTCTGCAAGGGCTAAAGCCCTTCAATGACTGTACACCAACGGCTTTGCTTTAGGCATGAGAAAACGGGGCTACAACTGGGAAAGTGGCCGTGTCCAAAGGTCATCAGGCAATGCATAGTGAAGCCAAGACAAAATGCTATACCCTGACTTCGGAGCCGGTGTCCCTACAGCACATCAACACTCTGAGAAGTGTCACACTCCATAAAGCTCCCAGGATGGGGACCTACTGTCTACCATGGAAATCTTTCTGTATTTGTCTCTGAAAGCTGCAGAGCCTAAACATCCTTAGGCTCTTGAATAACCAAGAGGGAAAAGCTGGCCTGGCTTTTCAGAAAGTGGCACTTAACAGTGTAGATGTCTAGACCCCGTCCTGTCTTAGACACTGATCTTTGTATGCAATGTACTTTGACTCGACACTGAAGTCTTTCTGAAGCCCTTGGAAGAGAGTGACTAGAAATGAAGACAAATGGGGTTAATTTTCTCTTCTCAAGAGCGTTCCAAGGAGAACAAGTGAGCACTGGTGCCCTGCATCTGTTCAAAGTCCACCTCTTCCTTTAGATATATGTGGGCAGGAAACAGAATGCCACGCCTGTCCACTGGAGACAGACAGTTTCGACTCCTGGGTTCTGTGTGTGTATAGACATGGTCAGTTAAAGCTACAGTGCCCTTTTCTTACTTTCAACATCAACTCCAGTGGTTGGTTTCTTGAGTCCATAGACAAACTGTGTGTTGTCATTTCATGTCTATGCCAGGGCATGTATTCTATTAGGCTCAAGAAGATGCTGATTCATGAAGGTCCTAGTTACTGAGAAAAACCAAGAATGAAAACCAATGAAAGCCAAAGACCAAGCCTCAGCAGCTGCTTCTCAGGATGAACTCAAGGGCATGACCCAACAATCGAGTTCAAGGAAGTCAGCGCAGTGTGGCTGGCTTCCAGGCCATTCTGTCTTGTTAATTTACTGCTTTTCTTGTCCTATTATCTGATTCCTTTTGTTAAGGTCATCATACTGGAACATCATTCCCTGCTGCTGTTCCCTGTGTCCACTATCCTCTCAATAAACACACACACACACACACACACACACACACACACTCCTGCTTGTTTTTCAGATTCAACTTTAATGCAATTTCTTCAAAAGGTTTTTTCTTACCACCCCTCTTGCCTAAAAAATACCAGTTCCCCCTCTTCTGTGGGACTCTCCCACCATTGTTCACGTTATACATGGTTTCAAAACAATCGTTGAAATGTGGCCATTTCATGTGTCTCTGAGCTCCTTGATGTCAAGACTGTTTTTGCTTTTTAGTCACTCTCATAATCAATACCCTAGCATGTAGAACCAAGGGTGGGTACAACAGATAACTGACTGCCTGTCAGAAAAACAAGCACTCAAAACGTCATATCTTGCTACTAGAGCTTTAAAAGCCTGTTTCAGTCACTTGACAAATACTATCCTACTGCCCCTTCATATCTGGTACCTGACATTTCTCATAGTCCCCTGCGTCCACGCTCTTCTTTGACATGACCATGCTCTCCAGCCCCATATTCCATGTTTAACAAAAGCCTCACACGACAAGATGTATCTAAATGAACTAAGATATCTCCCTTGAATTGTCACTGAGTATTCAGCACCCGTTCTGTCTTTCCACAGCATCCTGTGGACAGTATTAGAAGGTGACAAAGCAGAGGCTCTGGTCACCTACCTGAATACCTCTATGATGACTCTTCTTATAGATGGGGCTCAGAGATTACCAAGGGGTAAATCAATGGACAAGGGACTCTCTTAAGGGACACTGAGCATCTCAAGATCAGAATCCTACAGAAACCCCTCTGGTGAGTAGTAGGTTGGTGCACATAGTAGGTACTCATAATGCATTGGCTTGAAAATCATTCTCCCCTGGAAGTGATGTAAGGAGGCAGAGAAATGTGATGCAACACGGTGGTCTTGGAAACATTACAGTTGAACATACAGTATAGCCGTAGGAGAAGGTTTGGCCTTGCCACTACCTATGACCAGTGTGGAAGGGAACGGACGTTGACAGGACGTTGACACCTTCGACTTTGCTGAGCACACAAGATGGACTCTCTCGCCATCATTCTTTTTCTCTTATTTTTCCAGGAATCAAGGACACTGGCTCCTGGGAACCCAAGAGTGATATGTGGATTGGAACTCAGAGTGAGGGACCCTTTCTCTTCTCAAGCCCTGTGCACCCCAATGGAGGAAAGGTGGCAGGAATAGCCTCAGAGATGACTCAGGTCGGTGACTAAGGGGAGGCGGTACCAGCAGTGGGAAGCAGGTGGGGGCGAAGAGGAAATGAGTGAATACTGTATCTGATGAAGGGTGGCTCCAACATAAAGAGATCGGATCTGGTTCCCGTCCTGGCTCTGACAGCACAGACAGACAGGGGCCTGAGAGATTTCTTGTGTATTCTTCTAATTCACCTCATAGTGTGCTCCCTGTATGCCCTTCAGTACCAAAGCTGAGCATCCTCAGACCTCTAGAGACTGTTAGCTGGGCATTGGACACTTGAGTATCACAGGGGATGGGATGGCATTTTAACATGTCCTGTATCACCCAAGTCAGTGTGTATTCGTTCTCACCCAGACAGGCTGCTAGGTCCCAGACTGTTCCCTTAGTTAGGCTTTGACATCCCTGGGTATTATACAAGGAGCACATCTGTACCAGCTCACCTGACCACATTCGTCTTCTGTGCTGGTTGGCTGGGACAACATCTACCTGGTTGCCCAACCTAGAACATTCTGGGTCCATCTCCCTCCTGTGTTCTCAATCACTCCTCTGTCCAGATAAACTGCAGCTCCAGGGTTTCTTCGATCTTTTCTCTTCCTTCCCCCTTGCAGTAGATGTAGACAACTCACCATAACCATTCATCAGCCTCTTCTCACCTCTTCTGACTCGTCTTCCTGCCTCCTAGTCTCTCTTTAGTCTATTTTTCAGACTGGGTATGGAATTCGATTGTAATCTTGTTTATGCTTTGGTTTGCCATCTTCCAAGCCTCTTCCAGTTCTCATAGGATGGTCCAGATTCAGGCCTGTCATCACCCAGCACCTGCTTGTTTGACCTGCTGATCCCAACCCCAAAACTCATGCATATAGTGGCACACCCTAGATTGCAGCCAGCCCTCCGAGTCCTCCATCACACTGCCCTCTTCCCACTTCTCAATCTTGGATCACGCCACTCCTTCTCACAGGTACGGTTCTTAGCCAACATTCCCTACCTTCTGCATTTGGCTTGGATTTTCTCTCCCCTGTAGCCCTCTGTTGCACCTGTTTGATTATGCTTTCTTTCCCATGAACTGAGAGATTCCTGAAAACAACTTTCTAAAATATCCACCCAACAAGTGTTTGTTGAGTGTGTGAACTATCAAAGACGGGCACGAAGTCACGAAATCTATTTTAGCCTCTGGTCCCCAGTGTTCCATCCATAACATAGGTGTGTGATCTAGGCAGCATACAACCATTGTAGTCTCAGATCCCATGCTGTATTTCTCTTCAGACAGACAGGTCACACTTCTGCCTCATCAGTCAGCAGAGGATATTGCTGAGTTAACTTTCCCAAGGAAGGATTGTGGGTCCACCTACACAGCAAAATAGAAACTCAGGTTGAAGTCACGAAAATGCTTAAAACCAGCACCCAGAACCTGGGCCACCTTAGGACATGACCCTAGCCGTGTTATCAGGATAATCATGGCTGTTCTCTACCCACTGGGTGCTCTTTTGACTGTACTCCCCCAAGGATTGCTACAGCATTCAGGCAGGCAGAGGGTGATACATCTGTGCAAAGAAAGCCACCCACAGAGTCTCACCTCTTCTAGGTCACCGTTCCACCATCCCTTACAGTACTACCCACACTTTGAGGTGCCACCCACAAGTTCGCACACGCACACACGCGCGCGCGCACACACAGACACACACACACACACACACACACACACACAGAGTCAGCTTATCTGTCTGCAGACCCATAGTTCTACATATCAGACCACATCATCCTTCACAGGGAAGCAAGTGTAACTTAGCAGTCTTGATGGCTATGGCCTTATGGGCTCTATCAACAGTCTGCCCCTAACTGAGCAGCTTCCTGAGCTTAGATTTCCCTGGGACAATTACTGTCATCTCTGACCCTCAGTGTTCTTAGCTATGGGCTAGCACTGAAGGCTTTGCGGACTACCTCCTTTCTAGTGCTGCCAAGATGCGTTAAACCAGGGCATGTAAGGGTCTCATGAGCACAGGTAGAGGGCAAACATAAAAGACTCATAGAAATAATAAGGCTAGTGGACACCAGGTTCTGCCTTTCAAATTAAAAAAAAAACACTAAAGTCCAAGTGGTTGCTACATACATATTATGTGATGGAGATCATAGCCATAACTGGTTTATACTGCATTTGGTAGCTGAGTACTTTAATGTATATGTTTGAAGAAAAATGCACTACATTTGAGACTTAAATGTAGGTTAGTATATTTTACACATATGGGAAAAGAAACAATATTTGCATATGTACTGATATGTGTGTTGTTTCTAAGAGAAAACAACACTTGCCTGGGAGTCAGGAGTAAAGTAAAATGAAGGGGATGAATTTCAGAGTAAAACACATGTACATACAAATATATACGAGATCCAAATCCTGACTTACTCATTCAGTTCTTGATTTGGAATTTTTAATAAGCCTCAATTTCCCCATATTAAAAAGAAATTATGAAGCCAATCTCGTAGATTTCCTGTGTAGATCATACAAAAATACAATGTCTAGGGCAGATAGGGTCCAGTATGTATCATGGTCCCCTCGTGTGTTCTCTGTCTCACTGACACAAGGTGTGGCCTGGGGCAAGTCACTGACCCCTGGGAGAGTACTTTCTCATCTCTATGAACAGGTGGACAGAATAACTTCCTGGATTCCTTCCAGAATGCAGATGCCATAATATCATATATCAAATATCTATTTTATGCATGGGCGTGAGTTTAACTAATGAGCATAGCCAAAGGGAAGCCCCCGCAACCTGGTGTTCACTCCGTTTCCAAAGCGTTTCCTTTCTCTGAACGTGCCAGTTGCTCCCTCTCATATTTTCAATACAGAGCCCATTGATGACCACAAAGAGGAATGCCCAGTGCAGCTGCGGGCCCACTTGAGCCTTTCCAGCGGGCAAGCTCAAGCCTGTTGTGGGCTCTGTGTTCCCAGAGCCGGTTGTTGGAGTGATGTCTGGAATCCTCAACACCTGCAGGCCAGCTTCCTGAGCATTTCCACTGTCTCCCCCTCCCCATCTTCCACTTGCATCTGAAATGCAGCTGCTCTGGCCCCTGAAAAGGGGGAGCCAAAGGGACAGGACATCTCCTTGTTTGGTTTCCTTGGCTGAGCCAAGCCCAGCCAACATCTCCACTGTGCAGAGCCCTTTGTGGTTTTGTCATTGTTTTTAAATGAGCTTCGTGTGCAAGAGAATTTTCTTTTTAATGAAATAGAATGAAATGACCACAAAAGACCACAGCAGAAGACATCTGGTCTTTAGATGAGAGCTTGTCCCTCCTCTTGAATTAGAGAAGAAGGAAAGGAAGGAAGAAACAAAGGAAGAAAGGAAGGGAGGGAGGAAGGAAGGGAGGAAGGAAGGAAGGAAGGAAGGAAGGAAGGAAGGAAGGAAGGAAGGAAAAAGAGTAGGCTAGACTTTATTTATACTGTGTATCCCCACACCCCCTCCTGAGAAAAAAACAATACAAACAAAATTATCACATGCTGAGGGCAAGAGACAAGAGAAACTAGAGACAAGAGGAAGGCAAGAAGCCTCTCCCCTCTCTCCACCATTGTCTGCAAGTTTCTCAAAAGAAATTGTCAGTCCCCGTTACTTTTTTTCTGAAAGAGTGCTTGATCTTATATTCTGTGTCCATTTCACAGATAGCATGCTTACGAACTGTTTAGCCGTGATTAAGCCCGCCCCTGGTAACTTCTTTATTGAGTAGCACAGATGGGTTTGATGCAGGTGGCACCTGGTTAAATATTTTGAGAAGCAGTAATGATATACCGATACCCCCAAATCTTTATCTCCACACTGAACTCACACCTGTCTGCCAACAGCTGCCTCTTCCTGGCTGGGTTCCTGTCTCTCTGACTGGCTCCCAGGACCCAGCACCCACATTCAAATTCCTGGGTATCAAACTCTAAAGTCCCTTCCTCCTCAAACACCCAGCTTCTATCCCACTGCCCTACTGCCAAAGTCTGTGCTGCCAAAACATGCCCCTCTTTCTCCTCTTCCCTCCTTCACCATCACTGCTGGCTGAGTCCAAGCATTGCTCCATTGCTTGTCCTGTGTCTAGACAGGACTTGCAGCCATCATTGCTAACAGGGATCACTCCTTGAGCAAAACACTTAGTAGTTCTAGGTTGGATACTAAACCCCCAACTTGGTTTCTTGTGAGCTGGATCCTGCCTCCTTTATTAATGACCGTTGCCTACTCTGTTACTGCAATCCAAGCAAACATCCTCCAGTCCTCTTCTGTCAGGGTGCTCCCTGGGGCTGTGACACAGTGGCACGTGCTGTTTTCTGTCCTTGGATCACTCTCCTGATGGCCAGGATTTCCTATTCTCACTTCAGCTGTCACTCTTTTGGGCAGGGCTTCCTGAGCACAGTTAGCATCCTCTGTCTTCCAAGGGTTCAACACCCTGCAAGGTAGTCTCATGGTAACTAACACCACTTGTCCTATGTCACTTCTTCAGTGTCCTTTTATTACTCAATATCCCCATTTTTCTGCTGGGGAATTTGATAACAGCAGGTGGGGTGGGGCCGGCATGGATCTATTATCCTATACACTTATTCAGCTCCAGCTCCTCAACCACTACCCCATGCTCCTGCTGGTTTTCTGAAAGGACCACTTTCTTCTCTACTGTCCCTTGAAGGAAGGAGGCAACAGGCAGGCAATGGGACTGACTGGCTGTGCTCACACTGTTGGGCATGGCTACAGTAGAGCATGGTCTCCACTCTTCAACTCAAATGGACTAACTTTGCATTGCTAGGCTAGCTCATTTCTTGAAAAAGGACTGTTGCACAGCTTTCTTTCTCAGCTTGAGAACCTCGGTAGAGTTCTCAAAACAAAGACAAAAGTGTTCAAAGACCAGCCCTGCTGGAAGGCAGCAGAAAGAAAAAGCCAGCTGGGAAATTCTTTCACCCCTTTCTAAAGATATCAGTCTTACTATGCCTCCCAGGCAGCTACTCTTGCACGTGTCTGGGTGTCCTTCCATATCTGCTACCCATGTAACCTCTCAGAGTCTGGGAACCCATCAACATTTAAGGGGAACAGCTATAAAAATAGTAGCAACAGTACAACTGCCTTCCTGGTTCAAAACTCAACCATTTCCTTCCAGACCCAACATTCAAAGTAAACAGTTCTACTCTGGTTTTGACGATTTGTTGGCAGTTGAGTGACAGCTTCTTTCTTTCCTGCTCACTTCACATTCTTCTCAGGCTTCTTTCCTTGGGAAGTGGAAAAGGCATGTGCCTATAAAACGAGACAGTGGCATGGTTCTGAGAAAAGACAATCCAGAGGATCGCTGGCTGTGGATGAGTAGGGCAGGCTGGGCTTGCTTCCCACTAAGCCCTCTTCATATCCTAGAATTTTGGAAGTTGAAATCTAGACTTACAGAGAGCTGAAATGAAGACTCCAATGTGAGATCAGTGCTCCTAAATGATCCTCTTTACATTAAGCCAGCGCTCCTTGTGATGTGGTGAGCCAACAGAAACTGATCCCTCACCCATGTGTAAGGTTGTTTTGCCCTCCGTTTACAGAGAGAATCATTGGCTTTCCTGAAAATGAGGAGCTCCTTTGTGCATATTGGCCAGCAAACACACTGACATTAGGAAGGACAGAAACATTTACAAAGTTAGGAGGCCATGATGAAACAGTACACTCCATGTAAGGAAAATGGCAGAAGGGATGGCCTGGTTTTTCAGGGTAGGAGAAAGGAGTGCTGTCTGAAGGGATGACCTTCATAGCTGTGAACCAAGAAGAGGGTGAGCCTGGTGAAGCCTCTGAGGATGGAAAGGCAAATGGTCACTTCAGGGGGTGGGGAGAAAGGCAGGGTTAAGAAAGAAGCAGACAGGGCGTTAATAAGAGGGAGCTAGGGGGAGTGTGTGTAATTACATCGCATCTTATGCATGTATGAAATTCTCAATGAAATGGCAGAAGAATTTTTAAAAGATGTATTCTAAGCCATGGGAAGAACTCTGAACTCCCATGTGGGTGCTGAGGACAGTGGGAAGCCATCAGAGAGTCTCAAACAGGGAAGTGACTTGGTCTCCTAACATGCTGTTTTAAATGGTCTTGTCTATTGCTTCAAATGGATTGGGTAGGACAAGGAAACTGTTGCTCCCATCCTCGCAGGAAGCTGTTGAGTAGAGCTAGAGTAAGGTTCAATAATGAGTGACCTAGACTCAAACCACAGACCCTTTATCTAAGTCAAATAACAATTGTTTATGATTTATAATCTTTAAAAAAGCACATCATTTTATTAAGATGAATCACGTTTTTCAAGTGTCTTATCAATGTAGATTATAAAAGTAGGTTGTTATAAGGAAGTGCAAATTCCAGATGATGTTCCTGGCCACCTTTTTCTCCTTCCAGGCATTCCAAGAACGGTGCTTGAGAGGAGTGGTGACAATGAGGAATATATAGGTCACTTGCGTTGTGTTCGCCTACACAGCCTCAACCTCAGTACACAGCCACAGCAACAAATGTCAGTGGCAGGAAGTACACAACAAGAAGACCTAACCACATGTTTTTTTCATCCAAACTCAAGAGTCACACACATTTACAGTTGGTTTGACGGGGGCTGGGGGCAGGGTGGGCTGGCTTCTCACGTTTTTTTTTAACCAATAGGATTCCACAGCAGTCGTCAGAACAACAGCCTTCAGCAGCTGACCTTTCATTAAAGACAGTTTGAAGGGAAAAAGAGAAAGAAAGGAGAGAGAAAAGGTGGACTTTGCTCATTTGTCATTCTAATGGCTGAGCACTAGATCGGTCTGATGTTGCAGACACATTAATTTGATTAAGATACAATCCATGGGTCATTCAGGCATATAAAGTACTCTTGCTTAATTGCAAAATTAACAATGGAACAGGATAAATCATTACCAAACTGGAGGTTATTCTGGGACTTGTGGATTTTTTTTTCCTCACCCAATTCATTTTTCTCCATCTAAAGTTATTTTTGACACTTGGTTAAAGGAAAAATCTGGACTAAAGCAACAGTGCACTCATGCCAACTCTTCAGGGCATCAGTTAAGGGAGCTTAGGCACACTGAGAACGGGAAGTACTGGTAGGCCCGTCTTCCCAGAGTCCCTTTGCCTCCCAACTATGCGATTCACAGGGCTTGGGAGGCCATCCATCACCTCAAGAAATCTCTCTGAAGATCGAAAGCTGAAAATTTAGTTTCCATTTCTTACCACCTTGGATTCTTTTTTTCAGAACAGCCTGATTTTAAGGCTAGGCAACTTTTGATCAATTATTTCTTGACTATTTATTATAGTCCAAGAATCACCATAAATGATGAGTGCAAAAAAACTGCAAATAATTGATCCCTGACTCAACAAGCTTCCATTGTAACTAGTCACTGGGTTCTTTCCCTTTTCTGATCACATAAAAAGTACCTAGCTACACATCAGAGTCCACAAATGAGCTAGAGAAGAGGCATTCAAAAAGACCATGAAGACAAAAGGAAATTTATCAGGGAGTGATTGTGGTTTGAATTGGCCTTACACTGAAGTAGGAGCAGTTAGCCATGCAGAGAGGGTAAGAAAAAGGAAAGAACAATCCCTTCAGAGATAGTCGCAACAAGAAGGCACAGGTCCTCATGCTCCTTAGGGAGTAAGGTCATAGGAGAGTGGAGAAAATAATCCCACACCACACAAAAGGAAGAATTCTAGATTGAGGGTTAGGAGACATTGTCCTGTATCTATGGCCTTGATTGGGTTATTTCACCTGCAAGTACCTCAATTTCCTCTTCTACAGGAAAATAAAGATCTTGCACTGACTAGTTTTATGTCAACTTGGCCAAGCCCTAGTCATCAGAGAGGAGGGAACCTCAATTGAGAAAAGTCCTGCAAAAGTCTTGGTAGCAATTGACAACCCAGGATTGAAGGGGTCATGAAGACAGTTGAGGCTTGGCACCATGAAGAGAGCCCATTAGAGACTATTGGTGAGAGTGCAGCCCAATGGCAATAGAAGACCCCAGAATTTTAAAGATTCTAGCACCATGGGATGACCACCAAGTGCCAAGAACAGCACTATCTTTGGAAGGAGCCAGCCTGACCTGAACTGGAGATAATCTATGTGTGCAGGAGAAGGTGGAGCCAGCGAAATGACCTTTGAAGGTGGCCAGAAGATCCTGAGTGAATCCCAGACATTGAACAGTGATTTATTTACGCTACTGGAGTTTGGCTTGGTTTTGATCTGATTGTGACTGTGCCCAGATTCTTCGCTCTTGGAATAAGAAAGTATTTGTTTTTGATTTGCTGGAGCCCAGAGTTGAGAGACTTTGAACTTTTAAAGAGATTTTGGAGTTTTACAGAGCTTTTGTTTTTAAAAAGAGACTGAATATTTTTAAAGAGACAGCTTTTAAAGCGTTTGCATTTGTAATGTTATGGGACATTTTAAGTGGATAAAATGTTTTATATCTCCATGTCGATATTAATGTGTGATCTTGGGGATGAACAAGACAGGAAAAGTTATGTTTTAATAGTGATGTGTTTATGTGTCAAGCTGACAAGGGTCCATTGCTGGCTAGTTTTATGTCAACTTGACAAGCTAGAGTCATCTGAGAGGAGGGAACTTTTATTGAGAAAAGGTATCCATAAGATTGGACTATCATCTTCTTAATTAGTGATTGATGTTGTGGGGCCTTGGTGGTGCCATCCTGGGCTGGTGGTCCTGGGCTCTATGAGAAAGCATCTGAACAAGATAGGAGGAGAAAGCCAGGAAGCAGCATCCTCCATGGCCTCTGCACCAGCCCCTGCCTCCACGTTCCCACCCAGTTTGAGTTCCTTCCTTGGCTTCCTTCAGTGGACTGTGACTTGGGATAAGCAAGTCAAATAGAACCTTTTCCACAAGTTAATTTTGGTCATGGCATTTCATCACAGTAATGGTAACCCTAACCAATCCATACATGCGGATCCCTTTCCCATCTACTTCACAGGCTCTTTTGGGAGTCAGCGAAATAGTGTGTACTTTTTTACTGGATATATATCAAATCCCTTTTGATAGCTATGAAGCAGAGATATCACCTCAAAGGAGTCATTCATCAGGGACACCAAGCCACCCCCTAGCTGATGTCTAGAAGACACTCATTCTGAGCTCTTATAAATGGCTGGTTACCAATATAGCAACAGATTCACCATCTGAGAATTTCTCAGGGCCAATGGTCACATGGAGAACAAGTGACATGTGACTTTTGATACAGTCTCCACCATCCCCTTCAGTCCTGCTGTTTCTCAACTGTCTCATACAGTGACCTGCAGTCATGTCCCACAATGCATCCTGTCTGATTTCTGATTCACAGAGTCAAAACAATCCTTTTGACAATGAATGCAGTCCGGAAAGATCTGTGAGATAAGGCAAGAGCATTTGGAAAGGATCTTGCCTCCAGAACTCCAATCACTTTGGAGAAAAAAAAAAAACAAGGAATGGGAAAAGCAACTTGTTACTGCTTCAAAAGATTCATTGCTGCTTGATATCTAAGACAAAACTCAAAAACTATGGGCATCTTGCTTTCCAAGCCCTGCTTCTGAGAAGCTTGTGATGTTCACAGAGACCAATGCACAATTTTATTATTGGTAAATTGCTTTATTTCAGGACGTCAAGGCTCCACTTTTCCTATTTTGAAGTGGGACATTCTTTGAAAAATGCCTTGTCAGTGGTTATGGTTGCTTAGAGCCAGAGTAGGCCGTGACATTTGCTCCATCCATCCCAGATGGTAGTTTCATCTCTTTGTTCTCCTGCTGTTAACAATAAGAAAAAAACTGGTCCACTCTGTAGAGACAGCCCAGAGGACTGGGTGGATGAGTTAGCTCTACTCTGTGGTTTCAAGCACACTTATTCACATTCCCAGTTTTGATCACTTTCCACTGTTAGCCTCAAAAGGCAGACATGATCTGATAGCTTGAAAAACTAGAATTCTTCTCACTGTACTCCATTAACCTAGCAAGAGCCAATAGCCATGAAGAAGAGGATCATTTGGGGGTCTCTCCTTCCTCCCCTCTCTAATGAAGATGGTACCTATGCTATAGGGTCATTGGGAGCATTAGATGTGATATATGACAACCTGCTGGCATTCTGTTTGGCACCACCATGTGCCCACAAGTGGACTTAAACCCAAACTAAAAAAAAAAAGTCAGCTGTCCTCACATCCCATGCTTCAAGTTCTAGGCATCTTCATGGTAAGGACACATGGTCCCTGACCTACTGTTAAGCACTATCAGCTCCATGTACAAATATTAGAATAATGTTCCTATTCTGCCTAGAGGTTGTGTGGAACATTTATCAAATTTTCTATTCCTTCTACTCCGGAACCTTGCAACCATGACCTACAGTTTGCTTCAGGTATCTGATAGAGAGTCCATAGGAGTGTTACCCTACAAACAGCTGCTTGCCAGGGCATGGTAGCACATACATGTGATCTCAGTATTTGAGAGGCAGATTTTGGTGGATCTCTATGATCCAGAGGTCAACCTGGTCTATGTAGTGAGTCCTAGGCCAGCTAAAGTGATGCAGTGAGACCCTGATCCAACCAAAAACCAAGTAACCTCTTTTCTCCACTGTGTTTGATCCTGTAGATGAGTTCTCCATCTCTGTGGTAGCAGAGGAGAGAGTGCAGGAGATGAGAATCTGAAACGTAGAGCTAACAAGGTGGATGGGATTGGTTTGTCTCTGCATACTCACCCTTCTCCAGAAGACAAGTGCTCATCTGCTCCAGCAATGTCGCTGTAGGATGCTGACTGGAAGCTCTTGTAATACATCTCACTTATTCATCATTCTCATCCCCTAAAGAATCTGGAGGAAAAAAAAGATCAGAAAATTCCATTTGCTGTTTCCTATTTAATGAAGTCAAGCATTCTTACAAAATGAAGAGTGCAGCTCCAGGTCAGCTTTTAATTAGCTTCAGGAGCACTTGTTTCAAACCAGCCTCATCCCCAAAGCTGGTCACACTCTGTCCTGAAAGAGATAGGAACTCAATTGCATTTTGTCTTGTCAAATCACAACAATGTATGCCACCAGCATCCATGTCACATGGGGAAAATGTGCTCCTTGGTTGCTAGGCACTGTGAATTTCTTGACCCCACTAGAATGGCAGAACTTATGCAAAGCTCTTGAAGAATGGTAATTTTGGTCAAATTTTGGTCTTTTATTTATTTTTTGATAGTCAACTGTGTAGACATGGGCCAATTTCCCCAAGTCAACAGCAGAGAAAATAAGGACTTTGGAGTCAAACAGACCCTGAATAAAACCTTGCTTTCTCAGCTGAGTGGCTGTGTGAGTTATCTCAGGACAGGTGGCTTCTGTCCCCACATTGGTGATATAGATACCTGCGTCTGCCTCCTAGGACTGCTGAAAGGAGTAAAAGGGTCTATGAGAACGCTCCAATGCCTCTTCCCTTTCCTCTCAACTGCAAGACAAGACGAGCCTCTGTACTCTTCCCCTTTCCCAGTGCTGAGCAATGGCCCAAAGGGACACAGTGACACAGAGATCAAAACCTCAGCTCCTGGCTTTGCAGCCTAGGGCCCTGCTGCCTTCCTGGCTGTGTGACCATGGGCAAGTCCCAGAGCCTCTTTGTCTGTTTGCATTCAAAGGGAGAGTAATGTGAGTGCCTTCTCCATCAGATTACCGGCAGGTCTAAATTAGAAAGTGTACAGAAAGCCCTTGCCTAGTGCCTGGCACATGGTAAATGCACAATAAATTATTAGCTAATAATGGCAGCAATAACATCTGGGAGTGCATTGTAAAACTTAAAAAATCCTCCAAGACGTCCATCTTAAACCCTTTTTGGAAAGAATGCGTCAATGTTAGCAGTGCTTATGTAAATGTAAGTGGTTATTATTTATGTAGGAGAACATTACTGAGTATTATTCAGGAAGAGGGAGAGAACAATGTAGAGGTAGGGGGAAAATTTATGACAGGCTTCTTGGAGGAAAGAGGAACATAGAGCATCTCACCCATCAACACAGCAGTGAGCAGCAGACTACCTCAAGGCAGTCCCCACTGCAAGCAGTATCAGTAGTCTCCTCTAAAAAGAGAAAAAGGGGGAAGGAAAGGGATGGGAAACCTCATTCCGCTGCCTCTAAAATTAACCCTAAAGCTGCATTTATTAAACAGGATCTCACTAAGCACAGCGTCAGGGAGGCAGATGATCAGCTCCTGCCTTCAGGAAGTGTGCAGTATGATGCGAACCTTACAATAAATGCACAGACAGCTCATTAAAGTCAGAGGGAGGTGTCAGGAATCCTTTTTGCCATTAGTCAAAGTCTTTTTCATGGAGTTTCCTTTTGTTGATCAGATCATCTAATTTTTCTAAAAAGAACACCAGGCAGTTGGTGTCACTAAAGGAGTTATTATATGCAAAGGGTATTTAAAAATGGAAGTGGAAATTGTGATTGAAGCAAAAGGAGATGCCAATGACTATCATTAGACCTATTGCTGAACTGGGCATCGGAATCAATGCTGAGCTTCCTAGAAGCTGGGGGCAAAATAAGAAACCTGTCTTTATTATTTAATAGTTGGTGGATATCCTTGACCTCCTAAGCAATACACAAAATACACACCAGGTCCTACTTGTATTTTTTGTTCAGTGAGTACATGTAAAAGGCATGTTACATGTGTCTGTGAATTCATGGGTAATGCAGGGAGGTATTGGTGACTGTTAACATCTAAGACTATATTTTTCTTCTCTGTCTCTTTGATTTTTATTTGTTTGGTTTTGGTTTTGTTTTTCAACAGAGGCTTTCTCTGTGTAGCTCTGGCTGTCCTAGAAGTAGCTCTATAGACCAGGCTGGCCTTGAACTCAGACATCCTTCTGCCTCTGCATCCCAAGTGCTAGGATTAAAGGTGTGCACCACCACTGCCCAGCTAAGACCTTACATTTTTTTAGAGGCACCTATAAAAAAATCACTAAACTTCTGTTGATGCTACCGTTTTTCCATTTTTGTGGAGGCTGCATCTTAGCTGATGGCACTACAGAATGCAAGCTGTCTCACTCATGTCTATAAAGTAAATGTACACCTGACCTAAAATTTGAGCAGCCTTCAAATCATTATGCCTGGCTTGCTAATTTTATTTTCAACAGGGTTTTAGTCTCCACAGGGATCTAATCTGTCTCAGGACTCTCAGGTTAACTGCTGCTGTTCTTAAATTGTCCCCACTTACGCAGGTGGGCAACAATGAGAAGGATTAGCCAATTGTATAGAAAATCAAGGATGCTTGCTTGCAAGGATACCTGTTTCTGAGAATCACCATGACTTTTGCATGCCACTGACTAAGAAAGGAAGGAAGTGATAACGTTAAGAACCTAGGTTTGGGCAGGCTGTGGTAAAGACCAGCTGTTATTGTTCTGGCTGGTTTCTGACCTGTTGTGATGTCTTTTATAAATCTGAAAGAACCAACTTTGCAAACCTCTTTTGAAGCCTACATTTTAGCCTTTTAAAAAGAGCATCCTTAGCATGCCCAGGAAATTGAATAAGGAGAACATGTCAGAGAGGACCAAACACAGGATGAAAAAGTAGGCAGACGTAAAAAACAGTAGAGAATGGCAAGCCAAGAAGAAGGACCACAGGATGCAGTCACTGTAGCTTCAGGCCTTCCTCTGACAGGGCCCCAGAAAGCGACTTCCCAGCCTTCGGCCAGTTGACAGGAAGCTCTCGCTAGGCCTAGGCTGGGCAGACATCCTCCCTGCACGTGCCAACCAATGTTGGACACATCTGTTCAGCACATTTGGCACTATCCATCGGCCAGCTGCTGGCACCAAATCAGAAGGGGCAGGTGGGAGTTCTGGGCTGGGGCAGGAAGGAGAGAGGGGATTATGCACAGTTGTTCCACACAGAGAATGAGGAGGTGACCATAAGAATGAGGCTGGGAGAGGTCCCGCCCTGGAGCAGCAGGGCAGGAAGCCCCACAGTAGTAGCGGACCTTGCACTAATCACCCACGGTGGCAGGTGAAGCTGGAGCTTGGGGGGGGGGGTTGCATACAAGGCTCTGTGCCAGGTTTGTGCTGTTTCCTATGCTTCCTGTTAACCCCAATATTGAGTCTTTTAGGAATTCCTGACTAGACAGCACATCGCTAACTATGAGTTTAAAGGTTTTATTTCCCACCTCCAACAATGCTTTTGTAGTCTTTTGAGGCTCACAAGAATCTCCGAGTTGTTAACATTCTCCTTATGAGCTAGAGGAAATATTGCAAAGAACAAGCCTGCCCGCTGAACACAGGCCCTAGGGAGAGAAAGGGATATTCCTGAAGCCACCTGCTCAGCCAGTGAGAGAACTATGAGCAAACACTGGCTTTTCTACCGCAGCACCATTTGCTCTGCCCAAGTTTCAACCGTGTGCCAAGATGATGAGCTGTGAGTGGAAAACGCATTCACTCGGGAGAGCCATCTTAGAATGAAACTCATTCCACAGAAGCGTGCTGTCTCCTCCTCCTCCCTCCTCCTCCTCCTCTCTCCTCTTCCTCCTCTCTCCTCCTCCTCCTCCTCCTGCTCCCTCCTCTTCCTCCTACTCCTTCTCCTCCTGCTCCCTCCTCCTCCTCCTCCTTCTTCTCCTCCTCCTTCTCCTCCTGCCCCCTCCTCTTCCTCCTCCTCCTCCTCCATACTTGCCAGCTGGGTCATCCCTTTCAAGGTCTCCCCAAAGAGAATAATCAAATCACTTCCGGTGTTGACAACCTTACAGGTTCATTTCCTCTGCACCTGAGATTGCCTTTCCCACTGCTGGTGTCACGTGTGCCATGATAGACAGCACTCTGCATTTCAGCTGCAGCTGGTCAATCGTCCTATCCTCAGGATCACAACATCTGTTTACCTCTGGCTCATTACTAGCCCGAGGGTCATGTTTACTTCTGGTTCATTCTTAGTAGCCAGAGGGTCAAAGCCAAGGGACAAAGAATCACCTACATTCAACCTCAGGTTTTGTTTTATTTTTTAATTTTTTTAGCTTCAAGTGCATGTGTATTTTGCCTGCATGTGGGTCTTTGTACCATGTGCATTTCTGATGTCCAAAGAGGCCAGAAGGGGGCCACAGATGCACTGGAACTGGAGTTACAGTCGTGAGTCACCATGTGAGTGCTGGGAATCGAAACTAGGTCCTCTGGAAGAGTAAAATGTGCTGTTAACATCTGAACCCTCAGTCTCAAATTTGAAAACATAATCCACTTCATGAGCTTTAGTGATAGAGGGTCAGGATTTGTAGAGTGTCAGAGACTCACACCTGTCCCCTGACATATACTTAAAATGAGGACACTACTACCATCTGTAGACCAGTTTCTGTCCTGCCAATCCTGTAGTCTTTTAGTCCCCAATAAACCTACAGATGACTATACTAATTATAAACTGTTTGGTCGATGGCTTAGGCTTCTTATTGGCTAGTTCTCTTATTGGCTAGTGATGTCTGAATCTCTTGCTTCCTTAGCAGCTACATGGTGTCTCCTTTCTGCCTTCCTTTTCCCCCCGAATTCTTTTAGTTTGGTAACCCCACCTATACTTCCTGCCTGGCTACTGGCCAATCAGTGTTTTATTAAACTAATACAAGTGACAAATCTTTACAGTGTACAAGAGCATTATCCCACATCAACCATCCATACCATGAGGGGGTTGTAATGAAAGAAATTCCCACCTGATAGAACTGACATAGATTTTGGAGTCACATGATCGGAGGTTTATGGAGAATGACAATGGGGTTTCCATCTGCGGCCTGGCTGAGTGGGGGTCTGCTACCACAGCATCCCACCACCAAAGGCTGCACTGGGTTTTCTTTTCTTAAGAGTCTAACTTCCTCTTGTACTGCTAAAACTCAGCATGCAAAACATGGAAAAGCAAAGACTATAAATTTCTTATCTACAGAAGAGGAAACCTTGGAGGGCTTTCAGGTTCTTCCCAGAGCCAATCCTTCTTTTCAACCTCCTCCTACAAGCTGGTCTTCCCCTGACTTTATGGCCTTTTCTCTCTCCTTCCTGCTCTCATCTTAGACCTCAGGTCCTCTGCCAGTACTTGGAGTACCACCTTCCCAATACCTGGATCTACATCTGTACAACTACAGCTCTCCTTCCCCCTACTCCGGTCTTTATGACTTACACTGTAGACAGCTGTGAACAGTTCCATCACCACTATGGAATGATGTTGGCCCATAAGAAATATATTAACAAGGTACATCTGAGCATTTCCAAGTTGGCTTCCTAGACAAAGCACATCTCTGGGGTCGTTCTATCTAGGGCCCTAGCTCAGATATTCAGCTGCTTCAGCAAGAATTTAGTTATCAATATATTGACTGACTGACAGCTGAGATCCCAATTTTGTGCTCAGCTCTACTTCAGGGCTGATGGACTTGACTTTGTTTTGGGTTAGGAAGAGTTTAAGAAATTCACTGACCCAGCATCAAGTTCATCCCTTTCTGCCATGTACTCTGGGCTACTGCTTTATCTCATCCTGTCTTCATTTCTACAAAACCAGCAATTCTTGCCTGAACTACCTAAGAAACCAGCTTGGTCCAGCACCACGCTCCCCAACCAGTGATAGAATAGACACAGACCCCAGGTTTGAATTATCTGCTGCTTCATATATGACTAGCTATTTTATCTGATGAGGTTTTAATCTCCTTGTTTGTAAAACAAGGAAAGTGTCCTTATAGAGATCTCTGAGAATTAACATTGATATAGACTCTGTATTATAGAGTATCACATAGCATTGTCTGGTGAACAGTCACTATTTTCCTTAAGAAGGGCATTAATTAGACAGACTGGATATCTGATGCCAGCTACTGCCTGGCAAATCGTCACTTACTGCTGACACTTCCTGCATCCAAACACACACAGGCCTACCTAACTCATCACTCCTCTGCTCCTCCCACTGAGCCTTTGTGTGTCTGTCTGTTCGGACTCTTGACAAGTCTTGCACTAGGGTCAGTGTGTTACCAGTTCCTGAGAACTGACTCTTGACACCTCTTCCTAGTGGCCAGTGGCTATCCTGCTGAGAGTTTGAAAGCAATCATTGTGAGATCATTTATGACACAAAATGAAAACAAAACACACACTATGAATTAACCACTTGCCCCGCAAGAGCTGTTTGTTTGCATTTACTGGCTCACAGGTACAGAAATTTTTCTATGCTCTTTAAGCTTGATCATCAGGCCTAAACTTGCAATTATAATCCAATCAAGAGGAGGCCTCAGAACTTATGTCCACAGTGGAAATATTGCTAAATCCTCATCAAAATCTGCAGAGCAACCTCTGTTTAAGAATGGAAACAGGGATTGGGTTGTAGTTAAGTGGTAGAGCATGTGTTTAGCATGTGTGGGGTCCTGAGTTCAATCCCCAACACTGAAAAAAGGAATGGAAACATCACAACAGAAAACCAAAAGGCTAATGAATGAACAGTAACGCCAGGATTAACCCTATGACTAATGAGATCAAAGCAGCACAGCCCATGAGGCTCCCTCCTGGTGATGCATTCTCCCTTGAGCACTGATGGAAATCTCCCAAGCCCTCAGTGACTGTGTCTCCCATCCATTCCAGGAATGCTTCTGCTCTGCCTTGGAAAAGTTCTGTAGTGAAAACTGTATGGAAGTAGGCAAACCCCTTGCAGATGAAAAGGAAACCCCGCCTTTCCTTCATGGTTGGGAGAGTTCCAAACAACACACATGTGCTAAGGTACAAGCACCGTGGGAGCCCAAACCTCGTCTTAATTTGTGACTCCTGGAGGAATCTGGAGGGAGAGCTAGGGCTCTCTCTCTCTCTCTCTCTCTCTCTCTCTCTCTCTCTCTCTCTCTCTCTCTCTCTCTCTCTCTCTCTTTCTGTGGTGAAGGCTCACCGTACTGAGGACTACGATGAAAGTGTGCAAAAGATACTCAGTGCCAGGCCCATTCCTAAAGAAAGACTTTATTAAAGAAATCAATAGGTGCATTGCATGTGAGTGATGGGTGGTGGGAATGAGAAGCCCTGAAAAGAAGCTGTGTCTGGCTGTGAACGTAAAACTCCTGGGAGGAGTTGCTGTGTCCACAGAGACCAATGCACCGATAGGAATTTCAGTGCTGTGCAGAGGTTGGAAGTTTGTAAGTTCAGAGGCTAATTACTTTATCTTGGGCTAGTGTTAGCCTCCTGGAGCAGCTACTGCTTGTCCCACCTTGAGCCAACATCTGAACTAACACCGTGTGATAATAAATAAAAACCTTTTAGGAGCTATTAACTCAGCAGAACACTAGCTTCTGCCGATCCAACAGCTAAGAATGTCATGAGGGCATCTTGGGCCTATGGAATAGCTCCCCCATCTCTCTGTACCGGCCTCTTGTGCACTCACCAGTATATTTTAAAGTTGCCTGGATGTATGACTTCTTTGTTCTATAAATCAACAAAAACCCTGTGAAACAGCTTCCATGTTGGAACATGGAATTTGGGTAACCTAAATCTGTGTTCCCAGCCATGGTCCCTCATGATGGCTCCAGAATAAGCCATCTTTACTCCTTTATGATGAGAGCCATGATCTGTGAGCGGGAAGAGAGGTGGGTCTCCTCATGAGGAAACAGTCTCATGGTTTTTTGTGGGGCTGACAGTCCTCTGCTGTCGTGGAATCCTGCCTGTCTGCTGTGGAGTTCACAAGTTTCCACTGAAAAGCCCCTTTTTTCCTGTATGTACTTGAAAGATCTCCCCACCAGCCCAATCCAGAGAAATACCTGCCAGTTAAACCTTAAATGCTCTGTTTTCCCCTCGTTGGTTTCACAAATGCCACCTATTTCCATCTCTTTACCACTATAACTGCTGTGGAATGATGACCATTTCTCCCCACCCCACTCCTCCCACAAACCCTGCCTGGACATGTCATCCCCAATCCTGGCACATGGGTAGCTTTCTCTTTGGACAGGTTTTATGAGCGTCTCCGCAGGAATAACAACAGAAAACCAGAATACAGGAAAAGGACGAGAGTCCCAGGACTGTCCCCAGCTGTATCGTATCCTTACCCACATCTCTGGTTCACACTGTGACATGCACGCTCCCGTCTCTAACTCTCCTCCCCTTCCCAACCTCTTCTCCTGCCTCCCGGACAATGCCTCCTGCCAGCAGGTCCACTACTGTACTGACACAATGCCAAATGTGGGGAGTTGGGCTCCCAGAGGCCGGCCCCTTACAGCCTGCAAGCCCCATTTGGGTCCCTTATTTTAGCGATAGTGGACCCTCCATGTGACCTACACACTGATGTGACTATCACCCTTTAAAAGAGGTGGGGCTGGCATAGTGACTGGGGGCAGGGGACTGGTCACAAGCATCTGCCTCTTTTCTGGAACCGAGTTGACGAGGAAAGTCTATCTACACATTCGCCTTGTTCACCCTACCCCCACTCTACGCTGCCAACAGCTTCAGTTCTTGGCTGATGACCAGACAGACTCCTCCCATTGTGACACAGGACAGTCCAAGCACCTTTGGACTTTCAGGTGACCCTTTACTCTAGCCCAAAAGTTCAGGCGTTAGCCTTGTCTGGATCCGGATGAAAGGGGGCCACTCTTCCAGAACTGGCTATCTGTTTCTCGCTTCATCTTTCCAACAATCTCTTCATGCCTTCTTCCCCAGGCTTCAGTGCCCAAGTACACATATCAAATGCTCTTCATTTCTCTTCCTGTCTAGTAAAGTAACTTCGGAGCAGGTAGAGTCTTCCATTACTGGATGTCTGCTTTGTAGTTTATGTAACAGCAGAAGAGAAGTGATTTTATTTCACTTACCGATTTAAACTTTGACTAACTCACACATAATCAGATTGGTTTTGTTCCATCTAGATCGGTCATCTCAGGCAGCAGGTGGAAGTCAGATAACAGAGCAGACCAGGCCACAGAAAGAGCTGCCCAATGCTGACTGCCCAGTGCTGAGCTTAAGAAACACATGTATCTAGCAATTGGCTAGAGGGTTCTTTTATTCATTCCCTACACACTTACTAATAATGTAACCTGAACTTCTGTTGTGTTCAAAATACAGTGACTATAAGATCATTTTTAATTAGACCATGAGGCCTTTAAGAAAAAAAATGATCTCACTCTGCCACTGTCTTATCTCGCAATGTTGGCCAGTTCAGTTCGCATCTGTGTGGCCTCAGATCCTTCACTGTATACGGTGCGTAAAGAAATCCAAAGCCACCGATGGCCCTCCTTCTGTGTTCAGTCCAGGAAGCATAAGTTACACAGGCGTACAAGAGTTAGCAGGGAGTTCAAAGATGGAGAAAGCTGGGGCTTCTTAGGAGGAATTTGGTAACTGCTGGATCCGGTAAGTTACACAAATGGTTGAAGATTTTACTAAAAGGAATACCAATACAAGGAAGCTGAGCAGGCCTCGTGTAGCACAGCAGCTGGGCAGAGCTGATGTGGGGGTAGCATTTCAGTGGGCCAACACACGGTCAGGGGCCAGTTCAGCCAGGGAACGGGAGGAGCCATGGCACAGACGGGGAAATACAAGGTGCTCCCGGGGAGCTGGGCATGCTCATTGGTAGCTGCAGCCGATAGGGCAAGCAGGCAGGAAGGGAGATGGGCTGGAAAGGTATTGTGAGGTCAGAGTCGAAAAGCCCAGAGAGGCATGGTGAGGAGCTGGGCCGGGGAAAGTGACCTCACTGGCTAAGCTTGAGAGGGCCCTGCCCCTCCTCAAACGGCCTGGGTGCAGGCCCAGAGTGGGGCATGTGGCAGCAACTGGCGGGGGGGTGCTGGCAGCGCCACCAAGCTTGTTTCTTCACCAGGAAACAAGGTTTCCTGTAACTCGGGCCCATGAATCAGCATTTCCTCTGTCAATAATCCACAGCAAGCGATACAAGAGCTCAGAGCTTGGGGGACTGGAAGAAAGGAAGGAATATTCCATGACATAGTGGCTCTGCTCTCCTTCCTCTAATGATAAGCTCCAAATAACATTCAGGTCTGGTATAAGGTCCTTTTCTCCAAGCAGCTCCCAGTCCCCATGAAGACTGAGTCCCACAAAGTGCCTGGCTCCCTTGTCCCATTAGGTGTCTCCATTACCAAGAGAAGCCGGCTCTTCGCCTCGGCTCCTGGTGTGTCACAGAGCCAGGGACTCTCCTGACCTGGCAGTGATTTTCACATATGTGTGACTTACCTTGGAGTCTTTGCATGTCTGTGTCAAGGTGCTGTGCAAACAACCCAATAATCCCATGAGGTCCACAGGGAGTGTGCAAACCACCTCACTAACACCACAACAAGACAAGGAGGAAGGAAGGGTGCTGTTCTGTCCGTTGTTTACAAGAAGCCAGGCCTCACCTGGCTCCTTCAAATCTCAGACCCAGGAGCCTTTTCAAAGCCGCAGACGTTACAGAAATAAGGGCATCTATAAAACACTTAATGTGTTTATCTCAAGTATAGTTAATGATGACAATTGAACCAATAAAATATTTAATAGACTTAATTTATAGTAGTAAAATAGTATACATGTATATTTTATCTATTATTAGAGAGAATCATATTTGCTCTCTTATTCCATTTATCCTGCCAGGATCTGTCCTAGATATGCTCAGGTGTGCACAGAAACAGACACAAGGCCCTGCCCTCCATAAAGCTTGCAGTCTGGTTTGTGACGTGCAGACAATGAACAAGAGAAAGGAGAAGCCTGACCTGGTTGGTTACATGTGCTTTCTGGACCAGAGAACAGAGCGAAGGGGGTGGGTGCATTGGGAGAGGGGTAGAGCAGCTTTGCACAGCTTGCTTGGGGACAATGTCTTTGAAAGTACATTTTTTAAAGCAGGCTCTAGAGAGGAAAGCAAGGCATGTGCCCATATGAAGCAATGGGAATCAGCAACTGAAATAGCGTGTACAAAGGCCCTGAGATCAGTACCCATCAGTATGTTTAAGAAACAGTAAGTAGCATTGGTGGCACACACCTTTAGTCCCAGCACTCAGGAGGCAGAGGCAGGCAGATCTCTGTGAGTTCCAGGCCAGCCTGGTCTACAGAGAGAGTAGCAGGATAGGCTCCAAATCTACACAGAGAAATCCTGTCTTGAAAAAAAAGAACAAGAAACAGTAAGTAATCAGGAATATCTGGAGTGGAGAGGGGATGGAGGAAAGGTTCAAGACACAGAGTGAGGTAGGGATCATGAGCTGAATTACATAACTGTTATCATCTGCCGAAAATAAAAATAATAAACGACAAAATGAGACAAGAAGACTAGCAAATGGAAAACAACCCCCACGAGAAACACATGAAGGAAAGTTGCAATTGGCAAAGAAGATAGGGAAAGAAAAGATCAGGGTAGTGTGGAAAGAAAGAGACACAGAGGCTGCATTCCCTCTCCCTGGCCCCCGAGGCTGACTTTAAGTTCTGATCCAGTATCCCAATCCTGGAGCCCATTGCCATGGTCACTTCTTGCAGGAACTTCACAGGAGGCAGCCTGGCAGAGGAAGACCCATCCCGGGTGTCAGATTTCAGGCAGGTTCTCCTCAGCTGGGCCCCAGCACTCAGCACACTTCCACTTGTCAGGGCTATAGGTCAAAAGCCAAACCAACTTACCTGAATCCCATCCCAGATTTCCCAGGACCATCTTTGTCTTTGGAGGACAGCCTATGGCCAGCATCAGGCAAGAGACCCCAAGAGACAGAGGGGAAAACTGATGATGTTAGCTCAATTGCCAAGGCTCACTCCAAAATGCAAGTGTTCAGAGCCTTGCTTTGAACCAGACTCACCTCTGAGGGTGAGCAATGTGGGCATAGGGGTGGTAAGGGTATGGTGTGACGGACACGAGGGGAACAATGTTGTCTCTCACTAGAAGCCAATGTTCCTTCACTCTTTGTTCCTTCTCTTTATTAATCCTGTGGGCTTCACAGGCGAGCTCGTATTCAGTTCAACCCCACACTGCCCACCCCACCTCCCTCCTACCTTGAACAATTTTATATAAAAAAATCTTTGTGTAGTTTCTCCAAACTTAGTCTCAGTGAGTGGGACAATTGGGCCCTTACAAGTCTGTTTGCTTTGCCTCACGATGTCCAGAGATCAGGGCACAAAAACCCCTGGTAGTGATGGACATTAGGTGGAGAAGTCCCTTGTGCCTGTTTTCATTGAGCAAGGAGTAAAAGAGAGAGAGATGCTGTCCTCCAGAGGCCTGAGAGCATCCTGGGAGATGCGGTGACCCGGGTGGAGAATAAGGAAGATGCAACAACAGCTCCTTGGCTTCATTTCTCTGCCTTTTCTTCATCTGCCTCTCAGGCAGCCTGGCCACTCTGCCGCCACCATCACAGCTGGGGTCAGCTCTCAACTTTTATTTGAATTAAGCTTTCTATGTCAAGGTGATTGCTATTGAAAAGAAGTCACGTGGCGATTCTGTACACCTTTCACCTAGCTTTCCCAAGTGTTAACATTTTGCCAGACTGTACTACAATATCATGATCAATTATTGATGTTCAAATAGTGCTCACCAGTGAACTTCCATTGCTGCTTCATTGGGGCCACGCCCACTTTTCTCTTGTTCCCACCTCTTCGCAGCTCTGGAAACTTATTCTCTTATTTGGGTAAATTTTTTTTCTACTTAAAAATATACTATAAATGGAATTATAGCTAGTGTAACATTTTAGAACCAGCTTTTTTCCTAATGGGATAACTTCTAACAAGAGATCCATCAAAGAGGCGGAGAGATGGCTCAGTGGTTAAGAACACTTTTTGATTTTTCCAGAGGACCCGAGTTCAGTTCCCAGCATCCACACTGGATGGCTAAGAACCAACTGAAACTCCAGGTCCAGCTGATCCCACATCCTCTTCTGGCCTCCTTGGGCACCTGAACACCCAAGGCATGTACTCACACAGAAACACAGACACACTCACTCTGACACACCCAGACACACACACACACACACACACACACACACACACTGAAAACTCAGTCACACAAATAAAAAATTTTAAACATTAAAAAGCCACTTGTAAAGAGGAGTCCCATCAAGAATACTAGCCAGTAGTTGGTTGCTACTTATTGCGGGGAAATTCATGTGAATGAATGCACCTCGGTTTATTCATCCGCCAAGAACACCTAGGTTATTTCCAGATTGGGGCTGTTATGAAATTCATGCTGTTTTCTGAAGCTACTATAAACTTGCCTTATTTGTGCACAGATCTTCATTTCTCTAGGATATGTTCTTGAAGTACACTCGTTTTGTGTATGGAAGCTGTGTTTCCTTTGGTTTCACTTTAAGATTTATTTTACTATTAATTCTGTATCTGTACCTATCTACATTTGGGTGTCTACACATGGGTGCAAGTGCAGACAGAGACAAGAGGCATCTGATCCCCTGAAGGTGGTTGCACGTGCCACCTCAGGTGGGTGCTAAGAACCAAACTCAGGTCCTCTGTGAGAGCCATTCCCACTTCTAAACACTGAGCTCTCTCTCCAGCCAGCTCCATTTCCTGTGGATTTTTTGTTTGTTTCTTTGTTTTTTTTCAGGGGCCGGGGGAGCTTTTGTTGTTTTGTTTTGTTTTAGTTTTTTGAAACAGGTTTCTCTGTGTTGCCCTGGATGTTCTGGATCTCACTATGTAGACCAGGCTGTCCTTGAATTCACAGAGGTCTGCTTGCCTCTGCCTCCTGTGTGCTGGGATTAAAGTGCACCACCATTACATGGCTTCATTTCCTCTGTTTTTAAAGGCATAACCCATGCTGCTTTCCAAACAAGCAGGGCTGTTTTACATTCTCACCCACTCCATAAGGTGTTTGGGGAGCCAGTTTCTCTGCATACTTTGCCAGCACTTGGTGTTGTCACGGTTCTTTATTCTGATGTGTGTAGAGATACGATGCTTCCCATTTTAACTTGAATTCTCCATTCATGGATACCATTGAAAGTCATTCCTCACGCTTACTTGCTAGCTGTATGTAATCTTTGGTGGGATTTCTTCATATGTTTCCTTGATTTTAGACTGTACTGCTTGTGTTTTTTTATTTTCTTCATATTCATTTTTATTAGTTTTTTGATAATTTTGTACAGTGTATTTTGATCATATTTCGTCCCTCCCCCTATTTCTTTTCCTCCCGGATCCACTCTCCCTACTCTGAGGCGCACGTCCACACACACCAATTTTGTATCATTTTGTAAAAAAAAAAACTCAAAAGGCCAATTTGTGCTGCATGTTTACTCTTGGATGTGTGGCCTTCCACCGGGCATGGTCGTCCCACCAGGTGCCATACCCCCAAGGAAAACTGTCTTTCCCACTTCCCACAGATGTCAACTGCCAATAGCTGCTTAGCTAGGAATGCGATCTCATGCTCCACACTGAAGTCTCTTTTCTTGCTGTTCTTTCAAGGTCTTGTGCGCGCTGCCACAACTGCTGTGGGTATGTATGTACGCGTGCCCTGATGTGTCCAGAAGACATTGTTTCCTGGTAGTCGTCTGGCTTCTCTGGCGTCTGCGGTCCTTCCACCGTCATCCCTGAGGCATAAGAGGAGGGGATGTGACAGACATGTCTAGTTCGAGGCTTGGGCACCCTGCTGTCCTACTCGCTGCACTTTCAACAGTTGTGAGTCTCTGTGTTAATCTGCACTTTTTGCCAGAAGCTTCTCTGATGAGGGTTGAAAGAGGTATAGATATGTCATTAGGGGTTGATACAACCTTAGTCCATTTAATAGAGTAATAGTAGAAGGTTTTTCCCTAGGGGCTATGGTCTATACCTCACCATAGGTACTTGGACCCATGAGTCAGATGATAGGCATTACTTTTGTCTTTGGAGAAGACTTTAACCTAATCAGAAAGTAGTTACTTATTCCTATAACATCCATGCCACTATTGCTACGTAGTTACTTATTCCTATAACATCCATGCCACTATTGCTACATGGGCACTTCTTGCCAAGCTGGTCACTATTATAGTTTAAAGGTGAATGAATGGAGTTGAAGACAATTATTCTGAATAAGTTCACTCAAAGCCAGAAAGGCAAAAACATGTTCTTTCTCACATACAGATGCCATCTTTGAATCCTTAGGCATACTGTGTTTAAACTGGAGAGCCAGTAGAAGACAGGAATAGAGTAAAGGTGGAGATTTCAGTGGAAGGGGCGGAGAAAGCAGATGATATGAAAAGGCAAGTGGGTGATAATAGAGCAGGAGGGGTTGGATGGTGTGGAGGCTGGAAGGACAGGGTAGAAGTATGGAGAGGGATAACTAACGCTGAAGACCCTTGAGAATGCCAAATGGAAAAATGATTACTTCAGAAGCATCCTAAAATATGTGCATATACATTCATAAAAAGGAGTTTAAATAGAATCAGCCTGTAATGGGAGGGCAGTGCCTCTCTCAGACACCACAGGTTGTCAAAACAAAAGCCCACTGTCAGGTATGGCTTAGTGGGATCCTATAAGCACACCCCAAACATTACAGACCATTGCCATTGCTCTTGATCACCCTCTAGAACTTTATGAAGGTACTACAAAGTCGAGTCATAGGATGTGGAGAAATGAAACCTACCAGATGCTTCATTCCTACTAGCTACCTTTCACAGTGCTGGAAAGTTCTTTGTACACTGCTAGGTGAAAAAAAGCATCAACAGTCTTACTCGGCTGTAAATCCTGAGAGTTACAGTAATGACTGGGCTGGCAGCACATGTCACTCATGCAATGGTGACACCAATGTTGCGGCAGTATCCAACCACTTTCCCATTGTATTTAAGGCCTGCTCCACAAAGCAGAGCTCATATCTGGTACCATTTACTGCATCAAGAACCCATGGGCCCTGAGGACATATAACAGTGATTAATACAGAGACCCCTAGTTGGTTAACATGCAGAGACTAGGAGATTCAGCTTTAAATGGAACATATATCATATACCCTCCCCACAAGGCGCAGATATCATTATGGAAGAGTGAGTGGGCAGATTATAAGAGCCAGAGGTAGTGGAAGACTGCAGAAAAACGTATTTGCTAGACGTGACAGCATCATTACACACTGAACTCACAGCAGCTGTGATTGCAGGCAGAAGATCTACACAAAATGAAGTCAGCCCTAATTCCAGCAGGGGTGGGGGAAGGGTTGTGACATTCTACCCCTAACTAGGAACTACTGGCAATTGATGAAGGAAGGAGGGTAGGTTTTATTCAGGGCTGCCATTCCTGAGAGGTTACCCCTGCTATAGATTATCTTATACCCATGTTCATACAGGCAGCACAACAATCAGACTACAGATTATATTACACTCATATTCATACAGGTACCACTACAATCAGACAACAGATTATCTCATACACATGTTCATACAGGTGGCACTATATACCCAGGTTATAGATTATCTTATGTCCATGTTCATATAGGCAGCATTAAGTGGACTTAGCATGTTTAAATAAAAAAGAGTATATGAAATTAGGAGGGGAAAGTGGTGGTGGGAGCAAGGAAGGAAATGTACAGAGGGAATGTTGTATATTTGACCAGAATATATATTATATACATGTATGAAACTCTCAAACTAAAAAATTTCAAAAAATGAAATTATGTTATTTGCATCAATATTGGTGCAAATAAAGTAAGCTAGCCTTAGAAAAACAATTTAAAAAGAAATATCTAACTAAAATTATAGATTTGTCTATTTTTCATATCAGTTCTAATCACATTCAGAGTAGCTCGATCTTTCTGCTAAAATGACTCTCTTTATCATCATCTCTCACTCTCCTTAATTTTCTTTGCTGTAAGAACTCCCCTCTTATAGGCTGGAGGTGGGTCTCAAAGTGCCTGCTGAACATGCTTGGTACTCTGGGTTTGATCCTTAGCACTAAAGGAAGCAAGCCTAAAATCCGAGAACCTGTGGGGTGGAGGGGAAAAGGTCAGAGTATGAATGTCCTTTTCCAGTGAGGCCAGTTTGAAGCACATGAGACCCTGGCTGGAGAAATGAGCTGATGGGGGTCTCACCTGATGGGGGCAGTCCCAATGGCCAGGACAGACCAGCTCAGCTGACACCCAGGCCCACATCCCATGCGTTGAGTTGGCCCACTCCAACATCTACCCTTTCTATTATTTGCTGGAGTTTGGAGAACTGGTCTTGCAGAACCATAGCAGCATGATCTCTATGACTCGGGGCAACAGCAGGATATCCAAAAGGAGATTTAGTGAGGGCCCAGTACTGATGGTGAACCAGAAGCCAGGGGCCTTGAACCAGGCCAACAACTCATTGCAATGAACATTTACAAGTAAAGCTATTTGGACAAAAGGGTATACTGCGTGACACACCCCAGCTCCCAATGCCACTAAGACAAATGAAAAGGCAGGAAAGATGGAGGAGAGAAGTGCTTTTTTGTTAGGTTGGCTTTTTGTTTGTTTGCTTGTTTGGTTTGGTTTGATTTTTTGAGACAGGGTTTCTCTGTGTAGCCCTGCCTGTCCTAGAATTCACTCTGCAGACCAGTCTGGTCTTGAACTCACAGAGATCCACCTGCCTCTGCTTCCCAAGTGCTAGATTAAAGCTTGCACCACCACTACTCAGCTTGTTTGATTGTTCTTGATTCTTTTTTCTATTTTGGCAGAAGGGGCTGCTGCAAGGGCGAAGGGCAGATATGGAAGGACTGGGCAATAAGTGTATTTGGGGTGCACGGTGTGAAATTCCCAAAGAGTCAGTTAAAAAGAAGTTGATGGAAGGTCTACCTTCTCTGACACTAGCCAGCCATGTGTACTGTCGTTGAGCAATGTTTGCCTGCTGCGTCTTTCGCCCTTTTACTTACACGGCGCTGTATTTGTGGTGAATCCCTGTGGGCAGCTCACATAGATTTGTATCTACATATGTAGCTGAGCACTCACATTTCATTCACCCCTTCCTTTTTCTTTCTCTAGAGTGTGGCTGATCTTGAACTCACAGAGTTCCTCTGCCTTCCTACTGTGGGGATTAAAGGTATGTGCCACTACACACAACCTATAGATCCATATATTTTACTCTATTCCGTCTTTTAGTTTATATACATATTCATAATTATATCATTAACATACAACAAAATTGCAGATAAAATAGAAGTTATCTGAGCCAGGCAGTGGTGGAGCACACCTTTAATCCCAGCACTTGCGAGGCAGAGGCAGAGCCTGGTCTACAAGAGCTAGTTCCAGGACAGCCTCCAAAGCCACAAAGAAATCTTGTCTCGAAAAACCAAAAAAAAAACCTCATCTGGCACTTCATTTTTTCTATTTGTTCTGTTTTTATTGTCCAGTTTTTCCCAGCCTTTTGAAAATACTACATGAACACATTAGGGAATTCCATTTTATTTTATCTATATTGTTCTTAACTATATCACCTTTTATTTTAAATGACAATTCTAATATCAATTTGCCTAAAATATAGAAAATTTACGTACCTTATCTCTTTCTCCTTTGCGTTACATCTTTTCTCTCTATAGTTTGGGACAGTGTTAGAGAGCTGTAATCTTTGTGTCGATCTTCTAATGCAAATTTGAAGACTTGAAAGAAGTTATTGGTGATGGCTTATACTTTGGATTACTTTATTTTTCCTTCCCAGTTTTGGAAGCCTCTTCGCGTTTCATTCCCTTCTGTTTAAAGAGTGTCCATTGGACGTTCTGTTAGGACCAGACCCCTGGAGTCTTCCACCCGCCTGACCTCCCAGGCAGGTGTCCCCCGGCCCTCATGCTCAGCGATTTCCCTACATCTGTGAGTGTCTCGCTTTCCCTCCATTCCTAAAGGATGTGATGCTACCAGATGTGGGACCCTCGATTCACTTGCTTCTCTCCAGAACTTGAACACAACTGGACTGCCTGTGTGGCTTCTGATGGGAACTCTGCTGCTGAGCTGCATTTCTCCTGAAGCCAAGCATTGGCTTCTCTCTGGCTGCTTTCAAATGATTGTCTCCGAAATTGGAGGATGACCTGCCTTGCTAAGTTTATTCTGCCTGAAGTTTTCTCCCATATGTGAACCTGTCTTTTGCCAAATTGGGGAGTTTTTGGATGGACTTTGTTGATTGTGTTCATCGGGGAAAGGTACTTTGTGGCTGCAGACCCTCAGTGAAAATTCAGGTTGTATACTTAGTTCCTGCTGACAGTAAGAGAGGCTCGTCATTCCTGCTGGGCAGAACAGAATCCTGCCCCTGGGAAGACCTACACCAAAAACTCCCAGTTCAAAGGCAAAGGGGGGGCTCATTGTTGCTCTCTGCTGACACCACCAGCAACGTGGCCTCATTCCGCAGAGTGGCATAACTCTGACTCTTCAGCTTGGAAGGAATCAGGCCCAGAGACTCAGAGCAACCATGCAGGCTCTGACATTCACATGGCTGAAAAGCTTATACTATGGTAGTCAGAAATAGTGTTACATCAGCACTGAACCCAGAGAAGATGCAAACACCAGTCCCCAATGCATCTCTTTCTGGCTTTAACCCAGTGAACAGACAGATTTGGGGTGCATCTTGGTACCCAGAAAAACCTAATTTTCATTTTTAATTGCATTATTCATTTGTTTGTTGGTTGGTTTATGAGGAGCACGTGTATAACATGGTGTGCCTATGAAAGTCAGAGGACAGCTTGCAGGGACAACTGTTCTCTCCGTCAAACGTGTAGTTTCTGCCTTCCCTATAGGCCCTGGCACAATGTATACAGAGAGAAAAATAGCTGAGTAATAAACTTACTTTTTTTCGACATAATAGTTCAACCAAGAAGTTTCTTTGACTTCCCATGTTCAGGTATTTAAAGAACTGTATTTCCAGGACTACCTCATTAAATAGATATCAGTTTATCATACACAGGGAACTGGTTTCTTGACTAATTGGAGAGAAAGCATCACTCTTTACCAAGCCAGGCACTATGAGAGGACATTGCTTGGCTTCCAATACCTTGGTGACTCAGAATACTGCAAGTGTTATGTAATTATAACACACAGCAAGAGAACAGGAAACCCACTAGTTACAGAACTAATGCCCCTTTTCGCCATTCAGATCAATAGTGCAAATTCTTGCTGACTGTGGCAAACTAAATGGAGGCACAGTAAGGAAAAATGACTTCTATCCGTTCCCATCTTATCAGGTAGCCATATGCAATAGTGTCATAACAGTTGCAGAGAGAGGTCTGAGCTGGGAATGACTGGCTCATCCACCATCACAAACCAGGAGGAAGTAAAGAAGAAGTTGAGAAAGATAGCAGAGGTGGGGATGAGGAAAGACAAAAGTTTTCTATCCATGAGGCTGTCAGAACCCACCTCACTCTCTTGCCCTTCCTAAGTGAGCGTCTTTTCTCCCCACCATGTTGGCTGCCATACCCTTTTACAGATGGGCTCAGCCTATGCCTCCCTGTATCAGTGTGTTCCAAGCAGAGACACCAACATGATCTCCTCAAAGACTACCTGTGTTTTTTTCCACCTCTATCTTCAAATAAACCTCCTCAGATCCTGCCAGTAATGATGTCCAGATCCCTTCACTAGACAGCCAATGGTCTTTACCAGTCATAATGTTAACCCCTCACACCCTGCTTATTCCCAACCATGAAGAAGCAAGTTGAAGAGAACTAATATAAAATAGACCTGAAGTCAGATTGGACTCACCCTCCTAATTGGTTTATGATCTTGTGTGGCCTTCTCAGCCTTGATGAGCTTCAGTGTCCTCCCAAGAGGCTTAAAAATAACAGTCCAAAGGTTGGAACAAGGGAGAAATAAGGCACCCTGTAAAAGATGGGTAATTTTAGCCTGTTGAGACACATTGAATGATTTCCCTCTCGCCCAAGCTCCGCCAAATTTTCTTAGATTCAGTGACCCTGGCAAGATTTCTAAATGCCCTGAGCATGGAGAGGGAATCAGCTGAAGGTGAGAACATGTCTCTCACATGGGTGAATCTCGTCATGCAGATGAACCATCTGTGCCTCTTTAATGGAGAAGACCTACCCAAGCGCCACCTCCAGCACAAAAGGGACATTAGTAGGGGTCAGCTCAGCAGCGGCTCCGGTGGAAGCATATTCACTCTGCCTCAGGGAGCTTTCATACTCCTTATTATGTGTGTTCTTTTAAGGGGCTCAAGGAAATCGTGTCAGGAGACCCACTTTGTAAGTGCGTTTATTATTATCTCCGCTGTTCAAGCCACACAAAATAAATGGCTGGCATTTCCAGAAATCACTATCGATTCAGCAGCAGATTTTACAAGGCCAATCAATAGCAGCTTCCTCCTCCTCTCCTCCTCCCTCAGTGTACATGATTTTGTGACCAAGCTCTCAGCTGTTCCTCTGCTTTCTAGGGTTTGTAACTGGTACAGAATAAATGGACGATTTCGCCTTTTTCCAAGAGAAAGAAAGAAGGAGCAAAAGAAATGGCTATTAAAAGCATCTCCCTCCCCCACACGAAAGCATAGCTGGGCGAATCCATGTGTGTGTATAAGACGAAGATAGATGGATGACAGGATAGTTAATAGGTGCTTAGATAGACATGGAGATAAGTTTAGAGAGGGCCCAAGTTACAACCATCATCATTGGCTCAGACACCACGATTCCTTATCTCCCTGCATGTCCTACCCCACACCCAAGTTCCAGAAAGCCACACAGACCTTTGTGGCTTTCATAGGCTCCTCTGGTAATATGCCTTTATCTATTTTAATAACACCAACTATCACACAGAAACTCAATGTATTCTAGAACTTCAGGCTTCCAGCCCACCTCCATCCAAGGTTCAAATAGAAACTGGTCCTCTAAAGTCATGTCTCTTGCTTCTTTGTCCAAAGTGTTCTCTTGTTCTCCCAGGACTACACATGTCACCAGAATGAATAGAGATCCACAAACAATGGTGAGGGGCTAGTGACACTGCACACCTGTTCCTGCAGCTCACTACAAAAAGTACCTTGTCATCCATTCCCTGGTGTTTGGAGTAAGAACAGGGCCTGTCTTTCTTGGCTAGCCCATACACGGCTCCAATTTCATTGAGGAGACATATCCCTGATCCACAGTGAGAACTGAGTGTTACTGGGCAGCAAATGGATGTGGGCACATGTGGGCACTGTTTGAGCCTAACCTGCCTAATCTGCTGTGCCCAGAACAACACTGTTTTCCTTGTGACAGGTTAAATCGACTCAGACTCTATGTTGTAGTTCTAGTTCCTCTAGGACCTCAGTCTAGGACCTTTTTGGGAAATCATGTATTTTCTGGGGTAATCAAGTTAGGATGAAGTCATCAGAGTGGGCTTTCATCAGATACGCTCAGTGTCCTTATAAAAAGGAGAAATCTGGACACCAAGAGACACACAGAGAGAACATATGTAGACAAGGCACACAGAGACCAGGATGTCTCTTCTCTGAGCCAAGGAAGGCCAGATTTTTATCAAAACACCATAAGGTCGGAAGGGAGCCTGGGACAGATTGTCCTCAGAGGGCCCATGTCTGCTGACATCTTGAACTTAGGCTTCTGGCCTACAGAACTACAAGAGGGTGGATTCTGTTGTTCAAGACACCCAGCATATGGTCTTGTTCACTAATCCAGACCACATCCTCAATATTCAGAGATCCCAGCACTAAGTCATAACTAGACCTAGGCCTTAGAAACCACCCTTGAAAAATCCTTCCCCTAAAATACAGTAATTAGACGAAGGATATAGGCTAATGAAGATCGTCACTGTAAGTGAAATAAGTTTCATACAGACAAATGCTGCATGTGTTCTCTTGCACGGGAGGCAAGGGGCGCAGAGGAAGAGAAAGAAGCATGAAAGGTCTACTGGGAATGGCGGGGAGGGGTCACAACGAAAGGGGAAGGAGCAGATGCCCACCATGGCCTGTGAGAAAGCTTAAGAGGTGAATATGATGAAATCACATTGTGTCTTAGTCACTGTCCTATTGCTGTGAAGAGACACCACAACCAAGGCAACTCTTGTTTTTAATATATAATAATTTTTATTTACATTTTTACACATATTACTCTCAGTT